AAAAATCAGACCCAAGAAGGCAGATGCTTAGTTGGGGTAAACTGTGCTATGACAATTTACACCTGCTGAGGATCAGCCCCAGCATGCCTGACACAAACTCACAACAGCAAGGAAATGTAACGTCAACTTATGGTACGTACCTTCTTCTCATCCTACTCTACTACCAACTAGTGATTCCTTTCAGCTTGGCTGTGGTTACAGCAAGAGAGGGTTATTTTTGAAGAAACAAATGAAAAAATTATTTGGCCCTTCTATTTTCTTCATGCATATACACCTCTAGCTCCCAAAGTTTAGACAAGGAGAGGAAGAACAACTTTGTGGGAGCCCCTTCTTTAAAAATTGGCAACACATCACTGGAGTCATCACTACGCTCCATAATTATTTCCAGAAACACCTACACCCATATATTAATTTATATGAACTACTATGTGAATATGATTATACCTTTATTTTCAGGTATTCAGAAAAATACTTTTCTGGGTTAGTCAGCCCCCTAATTGCATTAAAAGGCATGAAGCCATCTGTGCAGGAGCTGGAGGTACAGCATTGGCAGGTGTCTGCCACAGTCTGTGAGATGCCTCAGCACTAGAAATCAGTATGAGCCCAAGGCTAACTGTGTTCACAGCATGATGCAAGACCTGCTTTTTCACAACATCCTTCCTACAACAACAGAGCTAAAGAAAGACCAGACTCCATAGCTACAGATAGAAAATGACAACGAGAGAAGGGGGAAAAAACTAAAAACACAAGGAAAAGTGTGGCAAAATCTGAATGGTTTCTGCTCTCTACTCCAATGTACTGTGATCCTAGAGTGGAACGTCATGCCTTGGATACCACAGTGATTAGGTACTTTATAAATACCCAGATTATACATTAGATTCATTAGGTTTTATACTGAGATATTGAACCTGTATCTTCAAGGTCAGAATGGATTAAGAGACCAGTCCTTCCGGATTCTCAGCAATTGGTCCTCAGAACCTTTTAGAACATACTACTAATCAGCTCAGGGATCAACCAAAGACATTTAAAAAGTGGGATCTATTGATGAGCTAAATTTTATATCCTTTCCATTTTAAATAGATTACATTGTTCAGAATATATTTTTCCATAGGCTTTTTAATCCATTTACTTAAGAGTAAAGATCCTTCCCTACTTAGATTTTAATACATGAGGTATATTGTATAAGGTATATTTGATGTGTTAATTATTTTTAAAAAGTGAAATAGTAAAATATTAATGAGCATAAGGAAAAAATTATCTAGCTTGTTATTGACAAAAGGTTAATGTACATTGTAAGTGATGTCAGTGACTCCTGTTGATTTTAATATTATTTCATTGTTTTTTATAATTTTGCTGATCTGAGATTTGCACATGAGATGTTTGGGGACAATTATGAGACTCTTGAAAGATGAGTAGAAGTAAGGAATGTGCTCCCATCCAACTGACCACTTTGCAGTGCTGGAACAATGTTCAAACAGTGCAGCTTTATAAGAGCAGAATATTGTCTTCACTGCAATCCAGGACCATTCAAATTTGTGTGTGATAGGTCAACAATAATTCATATTCCTACCTGCTGTGAATTGGAGAAGTGAACAGAGATGTGAGAGAGGAGGGTGTGTTGTATTAAGTTGTGCAGGAGAACTTCTACGGTACTGAAATTTTACTAGAACGTGGTGCAAGTCATTAGAAGGGATGTCCCTCTCTTAAAACCCAGATTGGCCTCCATCCCAAACTGGTCCTGTGATAACTTGCTTTCTGTAATTTGGTGACATCAGAAAAGTTGACTCGTGACACTGGGATGATAGACAACATTATTTATGTTTTTAACGAGTCCTTTAATATTTAGAGATTCTTGTGTTCCTTTGTTTTTCACATCTCTTACTTCAGGTCATTGTTCTACAATGTGTCCCAGAAATTTGGACTTTGGAGACTGAGAGGTGTTGAATACTCTGTGAACTGCCTATGATGTGCTCTAAAACTCAGAGGGCAGCAGCTTAAGAACATTCCCCTTATGGAACAATCCTCTAGAATATAATAGAGATGAAACCAGCTCGGTTCTATAGAAATGTAATAGGGTTCTATAAAACCATGCCAAATTTAATGGAGAATGTAATCCTTTCCATTGGTGCTGCAATATTATCTGCTCCCCAACCTCTGAAAGTCTGGCTAGGCAGGTTATTCTCATCCTTGATTCTGACTTAGCTGCTGTGAATCAGGAAGGATTTTCTTCTTGCTGCTTTCCTCTTTGGCTTTTAAAGATAGCAGCTAGGCAGAATCAGGATCAGGAAACCCACGAACTCTCCAGTTCAGGGGAAGGAAGGCAAAAAAGCATGTGGATAAATGTGCCAACTACAAGATGGCAGGAAGATCACATGACATCTTGGCCTCTCTCTTGGCCTCATTATACTCAGTTGCCTAGTTAAAAAACTGAATTTGGAGTTTTGGGTTTTTTAAATAATTTTGGAGCCAGATTTTCAAAAAGTTTAGGCATCCAACTGTGTGCACAAATGCATGTCTAATTTGTCCAAGCGGGTACTGCAGTTGTGCATGTAAATCTGTTAGCTATTGGTGCCAACAGCTTACATTTGCACAGAGTTATACACTTTATGCATCATAGTAATTGTGTGTACAAATTATTCACATAATTTTGCATCTTAGTGCAGTAACCTGAACATTTAACCCTTTATACTTCTGCGTGACCTAGCCCCATCATTTCCCACAGCTTGGGGTGTTATTTAGTAACAATGCACACATTTGCACTTATGTTTTATATTATAAAAATTGCAAGACTCACTAAAAGCTATGTGATTAAGCCATACATTTTGGACTTGTATTTCAAACACCCCAGACTGTTGGGGTATTGAGATCGAGAGTTTGCGTCACACCCCTCTCTTGTCTAAGCCTCTCTCTATGGGAAGTCAATATTTATATCTCTTCAATGCAGCTTTGCAAATACATGTGCTTATGCATTGGTCTGATTGTTCTCAGGATCTATGCTCAGTACCCTGGCGTTGGTGCATTAGAAATGCCTAGATGGGATTAGAGTGCATTTAAAGTTTCCTCTGGCTCAGGAATCTGCTCCATATCTCTCTTATAGGTCTAGTAACTCAAATGCATTGTGCAGGTGAGACCTGCATCTTTCCCTGTCACCTGCACACCTTCCAATCCATATAGATATGATCACCCTCACCCTGAAAGCAAATGGGACCTGCAAGGAGAGAGAAATAGAGCTGGCCATTTTGCTTTAGCACATGCATAGCGAGGTGGTGGGCAGAGAATGAGCAGGGCACAGAACACAGAAGCAGTTCTGCCTCTGCCTCTGCAGGGGTCACTGTGTGCAGGGGAAAGCAGTTACTACAATTGTTCCCAGTTGCCTGAGAGCCCTGCCTACCCCTCCTCTCTGCAATCACCTGTGCAAAAAGGCAAGGGACTGGGGAAATGGGAGTGAAGAGGAGAGTGAAATGAGGAGGAGAACTCAGGAGACAGGAGATGAGAATTGGAGGAGGAGAGAGCAAGTCAGGGAAACAAAGGACCCAAGGCAGGAGATGAGAAGACAACTGATGGAGAGAGAGAAACGAGAAAGGGAGTGAGGTTGCAGGAGGCATGAGAGGTGAAGAGCCAATAGCAGTGGAGGTAGGGAATGATGGTTAGAGAGAGACGGAGGATAGAAGGACAATGTGGGAATAGAAAACCCAAGATGTGGGGGAAGAGAACAAGATAGGAAGGGGAGGCCTCCCTTAAGGGTGGGGAAAAAGGAACAGAGAATCCAAGAAAGGAGTGAGGGGAACTGGACCCAGGGAGAGAAAGTGCTCTCGGGACTGGGGAAAGCAGACTCAGAGGGGTGGAACAGAGGACCTGGGGAAAAGGAAAATGGAGATTTACAGAGAAACTCTGAGGTGGAGGGGAATGGAAGAGGTTAGAGGCCATGGGGCAGGATAGCAAAGAACCAAGAGAAAGAGGAAATAATTAGCACTTCCTGTTTATAGCACTTTCCTTCCCTATAACTCACTGGACTTTACAAAGGTTAAGCATCATTCACCCCATTTTAATGATGGGGAAACTCAGGCAGAGAGAGATTACAATGAAAGGCATAAACTGAAGTGACTTGTCCTGGTTAGTAGCAGATTCAGGGACAGAAATCAGACATCTCCACTTGAATGTCTTGGGGAAAGAGAGAAGAGATTTCACACACAGAAATAAATACTGAATTGAACATTTCAATGTAAGATCAGAGAAAACTAATCTGGGGGGGGGACTACACTTAAGCAGTGAAGAAAAAATGAAGTGAGGTAGAGACAAAACTGTCTAGCCCTCCAAACCCTTTCTATATCTACAACCACCAGTGAAAAGTGAAATTAAAAGATTATTGAATATGCTAAAAATAAGAGGGAAATGTCCATGACTTAAACAGTGACACAAACCAATTCATTAGAGTGAACTTAGATTTGACCCAACGTTAAATCTTGTAAAAAGAAGTTTAAAACCAACAGATCAGTTTTTAAAAAAAAATTCCAATTACAACAGTTGGTTTTAAACTAATAAAATTTCCCCTGCAACATTTGCAACCCAAACATTAGAGCAGAGAACCTGAAAATTAAAGTAATTCATTCATTTTCGCTGCCCAGGCTGAGAGAAATGCACAAATTAAATAAAGGGCACACATAACAAGCAAGTTGGGTTCTTCACATTCTTTCATTTGGGTGTTGTTAGTAAATGCCTTTGTTTATACCCTTTTTGGTTTACAGATAAAAATCAAAATTAGGTTATAAACTCCTCTGCTTAGAAGTTTTACCTTATTTCATCTTATCTCCCAACTGACACATTCTTTTCTACTCAGTTTTAGATGCTAAACAGGTCACGTTTAGTTGCCGGTGAACTCTGTGCTAAACTGATTTGACAGCTTTAAAATAAATAGGTGAGCACAAAAATATATCTTAACATTTAACATCACTGCTTTTCACTGCATTGAGAGAAAATTAGTATCTTTTGTTAAAACTTACTGGCAGGTGACACACCGCTGGCCGCTGCATTGTTACCTCCGAGTCCTGGATCACTGAGAAGAGTAATTACTGCTGCTGCTGCTGCTCTATAAAAGGTGTCATCTTAATGTCAGAGGAGGAGCAATGATCGAGGGCGTGGCCTCACAAATGTAAATATTTCACAATTCATTCAGTAGCACAGCATTTTTTTTTCTGCCCTGGGAAGAAACTTTAATGAAGGAAAATATCTATGGCAAAAAAGAAAGCTACAGCTAATACAGAGACATGGGGACTGATCCTGATCTTGATCCCACTGAAGTCAATGGGAGTTCCATTTAAGTGGAAGCAGCACTTCAAAGACAAAACAATCACTAAAAAAATTCCAAGGGTGAAATCGTAACTCTGTCGTAGTCTATGGCACAAGCTAAGACATGAACGATATTTGGTCCCACTAAAAGCTAGTGTAATCCTGCAGTGGGGGATGTCTACTCAGCATCAACCCTGTTGTGTCTATGGGTAGGTCTAAATTGCAGTAACAGGGTCGAGTACGTCAGTGGGAGTAGACATACCCAAGCTAGTTTAAATCTAATCTAGCTAGCTCAGGTCCCAGAGTAGTGAAGCTGTAGCAACATGGGCTACTCCAGCAGTTACCCAGGGTTTCACGTAGGTTTTGCAGCCCACACTAAAATGGCTTCACTGCTCCAGGACTCAAGCTATCTCTACACAAGCCGCAATCACACCCTATGATTGCAGTCTAGAAATACCTTGTGTGCTGCCAGACCTCAACCCCTGGGAGCAGTCCATAACTCTGCCATGCTGGCTGCTAGGAATGACATCAGAGAGGCCCTATGCATGTGTGGTTTCCTAGGCTCTGGAGAGGGGCAGGTTACTCTGATGCTTAGCCATGATGAAGTTCAGAGGGGTGCATGTCCCAGAGATCAGTACTGGATGATTATCTATCTTAGGTCCTTATCTGCCCCCATTACCATAGTATCTGAGCATCCCACAAACATTATTTGTATTTACCCTCATAACACCCCAGGGAGGAAGGAAGGAATTATGAACTCCATTTTGCAGATGGAGACCGGAGGCACAGAGAAGCTAAATGACTTGCCCAGGTCACACAGGAAGTCTGTGGTGGAGCAGGGACTTGACCCCTTGTTTCCCAAGTCCTGCGTTAGCACCCTAAGCACTAAACCATCCTTCCTCTCTCACTGTTCAGAACAGCTTGGAGAGAAGCAGCATGGATTGAGGCACAGTGTCTCCTGTTCCTCCCCAGTGCTTGGGGATGAGGACACATCCCCCCAACACCTCCATCCAATGCTCCCCATTGGCACTTCCCCCCTTTTTGGGAACCATGCTCATCCACTTTTCTTCTCACCCAGTTCTTCTGCAGGCCTTGTTCCCAGGGGCTGCACCAGGACAAAGGGGAATGAAGATCTGTGGGGGGGGCTCCTTGGGAAAAATTCAAGGGCAGGGAGCTCATTTGAAAGATCTCCCCACCTTCCTGAGCATCTCTGTGGGTCCCATCATGCAGCAGGCATGGACAGCAAGGAGAAATGTGGAGGAGCACAGCTCCCCCTCCTCTGCTAAAAGCAAAGTTAGAGTCCCCCCTTCACCCCATTCTGGGCTCCCCCTTGTCCCATTCTCTTCCCTATGTCATGCAAGATGATACAATGTCATCACCGCATGATGGCAACATCCACAACTACTTACAGCCAGTCGAACTGTTGAGCTCCCCCTCCTTGTTAAAATTCTGCCACCAAATTGAGTGAAGATTGGGATGATTTCCAGGCCCTTTAAGGAGTTCTCTCTTCCCTGGATACTACTAAAGCTTTTCCAGAAAGATTTCTGTCTCTTGCTCATAAAATACTTCTGAAGAGCTAGTTCTATTTCCTTAGAATGAGCTTGACTCCACTCAATGGTTGGTATTTTTTAAAAATGACCTGCCAAAGAATACACCTCATTTGCCCCCCTTCCAATGGTACACATTTCATATGGTGCTGTACTAGCAATCCACTCCATGGAGTTTTCAGGATCAAAGTACAAACATTTCCAGAAAAAGTACTTAACTGAGACAAGATAGCCAGCAACAGCACTTGGCAATGTTCAAGGTAACATTTGTATGGAGTATGCATAACTTCACATTTAGGGTGACCAGACAGCAAGTGTGAAAAATTGGGACGGGGGTGGAGGGTAATAAGAGCCTATATAAGAAAAAGACCCAAAAATCGGGACTCTCCCTATAAAATCGGGACATCTGGTCACCCTATTCATACTAGGAGCTGAAGAGAGGAAGCAGGAAATGTAGGCTGCCGGATAGGGAACAGCTGAGGATTTTGAAAGCTGTGTGAAGCAATTTGGATTTGAATGATTAGCTGGATGTTTTGCCTAAAATGATTGTCAGTGAAATAAATTACAATGTTAATGCAATAAAGGTGTGACATGCAGGACTGCTGGTAAGGGACTGATCTTTATTTCCTGGACAGAGTCTCAAAATGGGTCATAATTACATAAGGTTGGTACCACTGTCACATGGCAGGGTTCAGTATTCGCTTCCTCCAGTGGTTCCTGTTACATATGCTCTGTTTTTGAAATATCAAATGCAAATAATATAATATCTACTAAAAATAACAGCCACAAACTAATATAGATAATTCGTAAAATACATAGGTAGAGATGTATAGAACCTCCATCTGAGCATTGGACATGGGTCAGTAACTACCATCGTTGAACCTCAGTGGCTTTTTGATCACACAGCCATTTCTTGTTCTCCAAACAGTTCCTTCTGCAATGGTCTCATCAGTTGCTTAGACAGATTCATCACCTGGAGTCTGTGTCTAATATACCTGATGGTGCTCATTCTCAGTGAATGTGGACAGGTGTTTCTGAGCACTGCCGATAGCATCCTGGATGCCCTCAAGAAACAGAAAGCCAGTGTTCTCCTTGGTTTTGTCTCGGGTGTCTTCTATTCCTCCTGTAGGATTGATCCTGTGGGAGGTTATGATGCCTAACCTTGGTGTGGGTGGTTAGCAGTTACCTTAGCAAGCTCCCAGCCACTTTTTGTTTGAAATCTAACATTCCGTCTGACTTGGAATGGAGGTAACTGTGTACTTCTGTTCTAGTTTATTGGCATGCAGCTCTTTTACAAGTACTTCAGAGGCTACATCTACACTACAGCCGGGATCGACACTCTGAGATCGATCCACCAGTGGTCGACTTAGTGGGTCTAGTGAAGACCCGCCAAATCGACAGCAGATCGCTCTCCAGTCAACCCCTGTACTCTACCCCCGACGAGAAGAGTTAAGTAAGTTGACGGGAGAGTTTCTCCCGTTGACCCCCCTGCGGTAACTCAACTTAAGGTACGTCAACTCCAGCTACGTTATTCACATAGCTGGAGTTGCGTAGCATAGGTCGATTTACCGCAGTAGTGTAGACATAGCCAGAATGAGTTGTCTTTGACTCAAATGCTGGTTAGGTGTTGGCATTGAGGTTTTTGTCCTTCTGAACATCAGTCTTTGAACTGGTGATTCCAGTTAAGCACTGTGAGTTGTGTTGAATGAAAAGTATGGCTGGATCCCTGGAAATCAGTGTTCTTGCTCCTGCTTTTCTTTCTTTCTTTTAAATAATCAAGCTCTTTTCTGTGTCTACTGAATTTTCTGCTAATTAATTTTAGTGTGCATAGCATGGATATGACATGGTGTGCTTAAACTGACCTGTGAAAGAGAACAGCCCAAATGATCCACTTCTAAATTGTGGGCCATTGTCTGTTATTAACTTTTCTTGAATCCCATGGTGAGGAAACTGTAATTTATGTTTATTGGCATTGTGACATAATGCATTGTGCAATCGTTCAATTTCAAAAAATCTGAGTAGTAATTCACTAGAATTTAAACAGATGTATGCCAAACTGAAACAAGAGCAATCAAGAATTCCATGTAGTTTTAGTGGTTCTTTTGTATTTTGCTTCCTTCATCTATTTCAGATTTCACACATGGATACCTCCCCTTCAGTGGCAGCATTCACACCTGGCCACAACAGGACATCCTGGACTCTTGTCTTATATTTTTCAGTCTCCAGATAGGCACGGTGAATAATGCTTAGCATTTTTGACCTTGTGTTTTGGGATATCACGACCCAATGTCCTTTGTACAGAATCCCAACATATGTAGCAATTTCTGCTCTGTGATTCAAATGAGGTTTTATGCTTGGAGATGGATGGGCTTTTTTGATTGACTATCCATCAAGAATTATTATTTTCTCAAGTTGCCTGTAAAGTTGGGTCATATGGGGTTTCCCCTTTGTGTGTGACAATTTCTGTTTTTGGAAATATCCATTTTATCCCAGCAATGCATTTTAAAGTATGCATGTTGAACATTGTGCTAAGCTACAAATATACGTTGTATATTTTTCCCAGAAATGTCTAACTATTTCCAACAAAGTTGGATTTAATATAAGTTTATTTGCCCCTGGTGTTGCCCCCCTTCTTGCTCATGTTTATGGCAGAATGTGTTTTATTTAAGACGGAAAGCAAATAAATATATTCCAGTCTTTCACCCCTTCTCTGCAAGCACATGGAGCCTTGGGTATGAGGCTTTTTATAGAAAATTGAGGGGGAAATTTGTGGGAGACTCTTCTTAAAATATCAGGAGCACATAACTGATCTTTTGCACTAGTCTCATGATCACTAGCTGCTCCAATGGAACTGCTCACATGCTTGAACTTAAACACATGCTTAAATGCTTTCCTGGATTGTGGATCAGACTGCTCAACACTTTGCAGAAACAAATTACACTCTCAGACACCATGGTATTGGGCACATTATTTACACTAGATTAGTCAAACCAGTGTGGAGTTTCCACGTAACAAGAGTCCAGGATTTGATACTAAAAAAAGAAATTTAAAGAGGTTTAGTTCTAACAGCATCTGAAGTAAATCCAGCGTAAAGTATGTATAATGACATTAATTTAAATATGCCAGCATGTTAAATGCAAGATAGATTCACATTTAGGTAAAAGTTGTACACTAGGCTAAGCTCTTCCAAAAAACATACAAAATGTATTGCATAAACTACTATGTATTTGACCATATGGTCATGAGAAGAAAAACTTTTCTT